CTAGCAGGGGAAAGAGTTGGATCTGCTGGGATTCTTCTCTCTTGGAATACACCACCTAATCCAAATGGAAGAATTATATCCTACATTGTTAAATATAAGGAAGTTTGCCCGTGGATGCAAACAGTATATACACAAGTTAGAGCAAAGCCAGACAGTCTGGAAGTTCTTCTCACTAATCTTCATCCTGGAACAACGTATGAAATTAAGGTAATTATTTTGTAAATAACTACTTAGCATTAAAATATTTCATTCATTTTGAAAGTGAAAAGGGGTTTTGTCTATTTTAAAAAGCTTTAGCTTCATGACTTTTTGGAAAATAAATCAGATTTAAATTAAAGAATAAGGCTTTATAAGTGAAAATATTCTAGTTTTTGGTTAAACTTAAAGTTAGCTTTGTTATTTTTCTCCCAACCCTGTTGTATTTGCATGTCTGTTATCAAAATTTTGGTTAACGGTTTGAACATTTTTCAAGAGCCAGTTTTGCTAAGAATAATGAACTCAATTTAGTTTTATTCAACAAATATTACTTGAGCATTTACTGTGTCTTTTGTGTTTCTAAAAATTTCTAGTCCTTTGCAATGTTAAATATGCAAAATTTAGCATTTTATTTGACTACTAAATAAATAAGAGCTTATAAAAAGCAGTCCTAAACTAGTAAAGCCATAGGAAAATGTTTACAATTACTAAGTGATATCTATGACATTTCCAAGGGCTAATAAAGAATACAGATATCCTGTGGCTCTTCCCAATTTTCAAAATAATATCAATATGTTCTTTGAGCCTTGAAGATAATTTAATGTAGAGAAGAAAATCCATAAAAGCCGTGTGTATATATAATTGTATGTAACTGAAATGCCCTTCCTACATGATAAGAAATATTGGAAAAGAGATTTTGCCAGGAAGTTTTTCTGGACTGGAGGCATGCCTATTAGTAGAATTAAAGAGCATAATCAGAGCATATACCAATAATAGTGTTCCCATAATAGGAAAGGGAAAAAAAACCAAACTTTTAATTATGTGTAAGTCAAAATAAAAGATTTATGATGGCTATTTCATGAAGAAACATAGGTTAAAGAGTAGGCAGACTTCTTCTGGCATTTGAAAATTTACATAATATAGATATTTTCCATCAACATGCATATATTCAGATTAATTTATATGTTAAAATACGCTATTGGGGATAATAAATAAAGATTAAATTTTAATGCGATATAAGAAACTGTTGCTGATAAGAAGGTGATTTAGTCAACCTAGTTCTGCTTAGATCTATTTTTGCAGAATTTGAATTTATATTCTTTTGAAATCTCTTATTTGAGGCCTATTGGGAAGCCCTATTCTACGTTTCATCTCACACTTTGTAAATAATTGTCATGACCTTTACTCTTTTCAAATAAATGTTAGCCATTGCAGAATTCTAAAGGGTATTTGGTGTAGTAGATTTGATATCTTCAGAATAAGTAACACTATGGGGGAAATCCTGTTAAGTATTTTACACATGTTATTTCATTTAGTCCTCAGAATAATCCTATAACATAGATACACTATTATTATACCCGTTTTAAAGACAAGAAAAATGTGACTTATACCAATTAAATAAATTACTCAAAGATACTCACTGGGAACTGGTAGACCTACAATTAAACCAAGGTTGTGTGATTCCAGTTATGGCATTTGCCAAAGTTTCAGAGTTTTATTCTCATTATGACCTATTGTCTATGTATTCTACTCTATTTGACTAGATCATTCAAGTCAAAAATAATTTTTATATCTTTTAAATTCTAAAATTCTCTCTTAGTCTAAATTATTAATTAAACCTTCCTTTAAAAAATGGTTTTACTGAGTATGTATTTACCTGGTTAGATTGTGAACTCTAAAGTTAGATACCATGTATATGGTCTCTTGCATTTGTTACAGAAATAATAATAGTATTTGCATATAGTGTATACAGTGGATTGATTGAGCTTTGGAAATAAACACAACTTCAACTGAATTCTTGTACTACCATTTATTCCTGTGAGACCTTGGGTAAGATATTTGACCTCCCTCAACCAGTTTTCTCATCTATAAAATGTTGACAATAATACCTTATATTTTGATTAGATAAATAGCTCTATATTTGCCTTCTTCCTTGGAAACATTGTAAGAATTAAAGGAAAAAGTGTCTTTGGCATTTACCTTATGAACAAGTCAATGTTTTATTATTAAAGATTATGTTTAATTTAGGGAGTAAAATGTTTGAGCACAATCCTTTTGGTCTATTCTAGGTTGCTGCTGAAAACAGTGCTGGCGTTGGAGTGTTCAGTGACCCATTTCTTTTCCAAACTGCAGAAAGTGGTAATTTTCCTAAGTCATTTGTTCTATATTAATTTACTCATGAGTTTTTGTCATTAAAATAAATAAGGATATAAACAAAATCTGATACTAAAATATAATACATAAAATTCTCATTAGAATGGCCTCTCAATTGCTTTTGGAGTCCTTTGGGATAGTTATTCATTAAAATATATATTGTTCTTTCTGATTATAAAAGTAGTAAGTGAATAAGAAATACATAATGAAAATTATCCATGGCTCTTTCATGTAAAAATCTTTGTTACCATTTTGGTGCATTTCTGGCTGGTCTATTCCCCCCATGAATATATGTCTATGTAACTATATATTAAATATTAATGAAAATAAACTTGTACTATGTGTGCAAGTTTATATCCTGCATTTCCCTTTTAATGTCAAATCATAAGCATTTTATGACATTAGAGTCTTGGAAATAGGGATTTTAATGATTATTGTATTATTCCATAATATGCAATCATTACCAAAAACTAATTTAAGACACCTCCCTTCTTTCTTTCTTCAGAGGAAAAATCTTGATGTCATCTTTGACTCTTTTCTTTCTTAGTACACATCTAATCTATCAGCAAATCCTGACAACACTATCATCAAAATATATTCTGAATCTCAT